CTTTCCGTGGAGAAGCTGTCGGGTAAAAAAACCGTTTTTTTTTTTTTATCCTGTTTTTTTTTTTTTTTTTTTTTTTTTTTCTTTTTAAACCGTCTCGTCGTGTCTCGTGTCTAGCATTGTTGGTCGAACGTCCCGACGCTTCGTCATACAGTGCCATAGCATTGCTTTTCTCTCGGTCTGTTTGCTCGGATAAACACATGGCTGCTTTCGTTTCGAATAACGATTTCATAAGTGAAATCGCGGATTCAACGCATAGTGACGAGATCGAGCCGTAAAGTCGGACAGGAATAGATGCTCGATCGTTCGAAATTGTACTATGAATTGTACTATCAGTGTCGTCAATTATTCAATCTTTCGCTGTCCAATAACCGAATAACCGATCGTACATTGTCCACTGTTTGTCGTCATGTACGTAGATACGTGTTTCTTTTGTCATTTCCTGTTTCTTTGCTTTATTTCCCTACTTTGCTTCATTCTGTTTTAGAATGTAAGAACATTGTGACACATTTCTCGCCTGTTCATCTCCTATTTTGATTTGCTCTACTTCCAAGCTTCGTGTCACTTTCCAACAAAAAAATCACGATTATTATTACTCCCCCCCTCCCCGTCTAGATTTCTGTCAATGCGAAACCTACTTCTACCCAACATGTCCATCAAGCCATTCTGCAGATCGTTGTTATGACCGCGATGATCCCCCGTGTAATTTCGCTTTTTCCTCAGAGCCTCGACGAGCAGGGTGCCTTGCTGTTGACTCGTCAGTTTACGTCTTCTTCCTTGCCTGTGACTCGACGACGCCGTTGCCAGCTCCTCGCCGTTCACCTTCTTCTTCAACCGATCGAGGAAACTTTGAAGATCGTTCTCCTCCTGGCCGGTGCCATTCGAATATCCACGTCGTCCACGAACATTGTCGTCCAAGCTCGAAACGTAATAACTTTCGCTGTCGTTGCCACTGTCGTCGATCGTACGCGCGTCGCGTCTTCCATCGGCTGTCCATCTTCGAAAATTACGATTCTCAGCGATGTCGTCTTCTTTCCTGCGATTGCTCCTGACGAACAGAGCTCTCCGTATCGCGTTTCGAGATCCGTCGTGCCGATCCTCGTGGTCCTCGTCGTTCCACGAGCTCTCCCCTCTCGAGTCGAGACACTTTTTCACATCGAGGCACGGTTCTCCCTCGAACTCCCGATTGCCGATCGCTGTCAGACTATTGTCACTCGTTTCCCTCGGACTCCCCTCGTCCGACCCTCGTCCCTTCGTCCACGAATTCAAATCTCGCTCCACGAGCTGCTGCTGCCGCCCAGTCGGTAACAACGTGAACTTCTCTGACCTCTCGTTCTTCCTCGACCTCTGCAACTTCGTGAACCAGTGGTGCAGATGCGACAGGGACGGTGCAGCGGAGGCGGCCAATGAACGATGATCGTGGGTCGCCGCATCGTGATTAGTGTACTTGAGCGCGGTGGCAATTGTTACTATCAGGAACACGTGCACCGTGGCAGCGACACTCATGGTCTCTCCCCGATCTGTGGTCTTTCTAATTCATTCGGCGGACAAATTCAACCATAATCACGCGCGGTCTCCACCGCCTCGTTGCCTCGACGAAACTTTCGATCTCATCGGGAGTCGAACCGCCTCGAGAAGCGCGCGAATTTTCGATTCTTTTGCGTGGCGAATATCCCGCCGTCGACATTTTACCTTCGTCCCATCAAACAGACCTTGATCGATCGTACGTATCACTGGGATATATATTATAATTCCGGTAATCGAGGCACAACAGTTGCTTCGACACACAGTTCTCGATAGTCTCTCCCTCCGAGGAGAGACTCGCGCGACTCGACGATGAACCGATGAGATAAGGTAGGTGAATATCGGAGAAATCTGCTCACCTATCCGCAGTCGCAACCTTTGCCACCTTGCTCATGACACGAATGTGCTTTCGACGCTTTCGTCGGGACACCCGGACGATACTAATTGCCGCCTAAGTCTAAGCTCGTGAATTGATGCGTTCCAGCGACCTGGCGAGACTCCGCCGGCATCCAAAGAAGCGTTGCTGGCTTTCACCAACGTCTCAGCTTTCTCATTGCTACGATAGCGTGTCTTCCCTGACATTGGTCCCCCACCTTTTCGCCTCTTCTTCACTCTCTTTTGCTTTCTTCCCCCTACCTCGTTGTCCTTTCTTTCTTTCCGTTGTTGTTGTTGTACTCCTCTACGTTTCTTCCTTTCCTTTCCCACGAACGGTGCACGCACTTGGTTGACACGTTACGCAGGGCGACCGTGAAATTTTGGTGAAAATTTTGGTCGACCAAGTTGCGAGTGACTTCCACGTATAAAAATATTTGGTCGATCGAATCGAGGATCACTCGTTTTGAATTTTTATCAACCACTATGTACGCATGTACACGTGACTATAATAATGCGGTTTTTCATGCGAATTCAAGGATACAAAATTGTACAGATACAATTATATGCGTATAATTTTTTTTTCTTGGGAATTTTTTTTTTTTTGTATTTGTTTTTAGATTAGAAGGTTTATAAAAATTAGTTAGATCCTATCTCTATATAGGTTTCTAACGTAGCTAACAAGATTGTTAGCGTATTTTTATATTTTATAATTTGTATATTAATACAATTTTTGTATTAAATTATTATTTTTTATTAACATTAATTTTATTATTATTTGTATTAATATAATTTTTATGTTTATTTTAATTATGAAATTTCATCAGGATTGTAATAAAATACGTATTGTATTGGTAAAATTTGAAAAATTGGAAATATACGCGAAAGCTGAGAGATAAACAAAATAGACCGAATAAATGGGAATCGTTTAAATGTCTATCTCATAGATAATTGTATAAAAAAAAAAACAAGTTCTCAACAAAGCATGCACTATCAATATCTTTAGGAGACTTCAAAGTCATCAATATTTTTTTTTTCTTTGTTAAATATATTCTTTATGCTGCTTGTTCTCTATAGTAATTAACAGAAATAATTAAAATATCGAAAATAGACAAGTCACCCTATACTCAGTAGACAAACCGAGAAGACAAAAATTAGAACAAGCAGAATGAGACAGGAATGAAACAGCGATTCGTGTCGTCAAATTTTTTCAAATTTCACGGTGTAAACTCGCATAAAACTTACGTCCAAGCTCGTCGAAAAATCGTGTCTGTCCTTCTGTGTCGATTACATTTTCCATTGCAGTTTCCTTCTTTGTATCTAGATCTAGAATCGAAACGTGTAATTATGTTAGTACAAGAAAGAAACACACATGTGGCTGACGTTCTGCCAAAATCTTTTCATCGTATGAACAAGACTTCTACTTGATATAATAATTTAATAATTATAATATCATCATTGTAATATAATTATTGGAATAACAATGTTATAATTAAACTAAACTGAAGTTTTAATATACATGAAGTATGTTATGATATTTCTTAACTGGTATCATTGAACAATTGAGACCAATAACAATTTAAATTTAAATTTTAAATGTCATCTCTATATTATGGAGAATATAAAATATAATATTAAATATAAAATTTCAGTAACCTGACATAAATCATAACAGTGTGTCCAACAATATGAATTTTTATGGATTCTCTTCACACTTTGTCACCAAACTTGTGAATGTTAAACACGAAGAATATAAAACAAACAAAATAGAAAAATACAAAATGAAAGAATTTCAATAATATATCATAATAATATAAATATAATATATTATAATATATTATACAATAAATATAATATATCATAATAATATAAAATTTCAATAATATGTTATAATAATCCAAATTCTAAGAATGTTTTTTTCGAAAACTATAGATATTTATGTTCAATTCGAATTTTTTTGAATTCTTTTCATATTTCGTTCGAACATTGTGAAAATGTTAACCACGCAGAATGTAAATTTCTAAATTCCTGTCATCTATATATATAAAAAATATATATATCACAGTAAAACTACCAAAGTGGTGGTCAAAATGATCAAATGATTATAATTTTTGTCAGATATCTTTTTTAAAAGATATCTAATTTTTGTCAGATATCTTTCTTAAAGGTTTAAATAATATTCAATATTAAAGGTTTAAATAATATTAGGTTTAAAATAGGAGTTTGTGTACTCTATTGAATTGTAAAGTTTCCCTATCTTTGTTTTAACTTTAATGTCCCTGATGTTTCATGTTTCGATCGTCGATCGGTAATTCCAGTGTTAGATATATCAAGAACGATCAACTTAGTTAGACTCACCGAAATTCTCTAAATACCGGTCATTTTTCCTGAAATCGGCTTGACAGTAGAATCCAACAAGCAGCCAAACGAGAAGCGAACTTGCCAGCCGATTCATTTCTCTTTTCTCTGAGCGATCTGAAAGAAGATCGATCGACGATGATTCGGCTTCGTTGTATGGGTGTACCTCTCGTCTGGTCGTTCACCAATGTTCTACGAATCGAAAATTCGCGCAGTGTCTTTTTCCTCGAGAACAGGATTCGATCCCTCGATCTTCTACGAACGTTAACTCGACGATATTACCGATCGATACTTGCATAGCTCCCGTGATTTATTCGAACAGACTCGCAGTAAAACGTTCAATCGATGATCTTGCATATTCTTCTCTCTCTTTCTCTATCTCTCTGCGTGTAAATTACATTCCGGTCGAATCAAGTTTCGAAGAATAATTAAACTAAATTCTGGAGGATACCGTTGATCGCATTTCTGTTTTTTTTATTCGTTTGTCGACAGTGGCTTGCGAGCCGTTAAATAGTAATTAAGCAAGATAATTTTATGATTAGATTATTCTATATTTAGAATATTATTTATTATTTATTTAGAATTATTTAGATTATTTTATTTAGAATTTTATTTCATTTATGATTAAATTATGATTCTATTCCTAATCAGTGATCGTCTTCACAGAGTGCGTGTCAGCTAGGAAATATATAAATTTCTATTTTTATTGTTTATAGATTATTTAGACTTTTGTAAGATTATAAATCTCTAGAAAGTTCTTTCATTCGACGATCATAATTTTGTAATAAAATAAAAATTCTATTAAGAGTCAACGTCTTTTCAACAAAGTACAATAGTCTAATCAGGAAATTTTGATCGAATTTATATTTGTATATTTTGTATTTGTCGACGATAATCGAAACTTTTGCGAAATTATAAATTGTCTGGGCAGTAGTTGAGCGCAAAAGTTTTTTAATAAAGTAGTCTCTAAAAACTCGTGTCTTTTTTTTACAAAAGTATACTTAAGAAATTTTTATCAAATTCTTATTTTTATATTTTGTATTACATCGATACAATTTGAAATTATAAGTTGTTTAAACGCAAAATAAAATAATCTCTAAGAGGCAGATCTCCTTCTCCCAATGTACATCTCTTAATTAAGAAATTCATATGTAATTTGCACTCTCATAAAATTACAAATAGTTGAACAAAAAAAAAAAAAAAAAATTCCGTAATAAAATTTCCTTTCCTTCGACCAAAAGAATTCTCATCGAATTTCTGTCTTCATCCGAATCCGAATTTACATGCAAACTGTCCAAATAACAATTACACGCAAAAGAATCTTCCAATGAAACAGCTCTCTCGCAAAATGCACTTCGACAACAAAATTCTCCTTCGGGGGAAAAAAAAAATCGCTACGACCCTAGCCAAGACCTCCCTATCATCCTCCCTTCGCGAACAAAACTTCACGTTTCAGAATCTCCTCGAGAAGAGCCTCGTGACCAAAAGAAAAAGAAAAAAAAGAAAAAAAACTAGAAAAAGAAAAAGATCCCGCGAATATTTAATTTTCGTTTCTTCGTGCGCGCCTTTTTTTTCCATCCTGTGTACCGTCCGTGTACCGTAAGAGCACGCGAAGCGTGGCGAGGAGGCATTCACACGTAGTGGTTGGGTCCGGTAGAAAAGTGGGTCGGGAAACCAGGTCACCGAAACAAGTGGCACGTCGTCTTGTTCGTGTGGCCGCTTCGTAACACGTTCTCAGTTCCTTACGACCTGTCCCGCGAGCGTGGGGCATACGCGTGAAACCGTAGCATCACACCGTTCGGTTATTAGTGAAAGTTAGTCCCGGTAACTTTCGACTTTGACAATGCCGATTTGACTGGCTCGTACGAATCGGCTCGTCCAGCTGTTCCTCGCTGCCGCGATTTCCATCTTTCGCCGAGCGTTTCCTCTCTGCGTGTTCTCCACCGCTTCCTCCACCGCTTCCTCCACGAGGACGTTCGAAAAAAGGGGCCTGGTCCCGACGATAAACGCGAGCATTCGTCGTCTCACACTGGCCACTGAAACCGGCGAACGTCCCCTCGATCGTCGGTCCTTTCGCAAAATCTCGCCCGAAACATTGTACTCGACAGTTTAATATTACTTTTATTTAAATTATTGTTCCGCTTGTTACTTGACCTTACTATGTTAAATCGTTGGAAATTTTATTATTATTATCTCGATTCTCACTATTGGTCCTCTGTCGTTAATTTTCTGATCATCGTTACTGTTACTTTAATCGTTATTCGTTGTTACTCGCATCAGGTTACGCGTATCAAATTATTATACACGATATTGTTTCGATACTTTCGCCGTTGGCATCTCGTTGTTATTTCAATTGTTTAGGTACAATACGTCAAGTTGCACGCACGTGTAATATGTTCACTGATTGGACGATAATCGAGCCATAAACGGAGGATACGAATTCTTCGCAGGACACCGCGGTGTGTTTCGGTTTCAATTATGTTTCCATCGCGATCGGAATTCACCGTGACGTCTTTCCTTCGCCAATCACCCGGTGACACTGCCCGAAGAAAGGAGGAGATCCTCGACATGAGGTTGACTACTGATGAGGAACGGAAATACAAAATCCGAGAGAAGACCACTCTCTCTCTCTCCTGATAGCAATTCCTTTCGTACAGCTCTTCCCGCTATTACCCCTCCACTCTTCTTTCTTCCCTTTCCAAATCGTTATCTTCCTCGTTCGGATCTTCTTCGTCGTCGCCGCGGACGATTCCTCCGCTTACTTTCAACTCGTATCCTGCAAGTATGTATGTGTATGTATGTACGTACGTATGTAGTTATCGAGTTAGTTAATCATTCGGCGGAAATTCTACTCTCGTGTACAGACGTTTTATAGATGTATACAGGATGTTCAGTTTTTAATCTTCTGAACTGTATCAACATTGTTCGAAGAGCGAAAGAAAAAGAAAATCTTGCTGTGCTTCGAGGGGAAAGCAATTTGGTGAAACTAGTTTGTTTGTAGGTAGAAGCGTATAGAAAATAAAAGAATGCATTGATTGGTATAAGGTTTCATTTGTGAAAATTAGATTAACTTTGAAATCTTCCACAAACAAATCGATTTTACTTCCCCTTTGAAACATGTGTCTGAAATATTCTTTTCGAACAATAAATAGTTCAGAAAGTAATTCCGTTTACGGATTAAAACTGTATACTATATACGCATTGATATTTGGACATTTCTAAATTATCGTCTGCAATACAATTGATTTCCTTAATTTCTTTAATTAAAGAGATTTGGTTTCAGAGATCTCATTAATTCTTTAATTCAATTAATCTCCTTAATTTAATATTTGTTAAAATGCGTATAGTTAATATATGAGGACACAAAAAGAAGATGTAACATTCTTTAATATTAATTGGATTTTACAGAACTTTTATCTTGTACCTTTTTATCCAGAAACTAATTTTTATCAACTTACACCACTTCTGTATTAAATGGCTTATATTTAACCCTTTAAGTACTGCGTATCATAAAATCACACAACTTTGTCATAGGAGCAGAATGTGGAAAAATCTTCGTGTACTTGGGTTTATAAATCTGATAAGATATATATAATAGCTCGTAGAAGTATTCGTGCATTTATCACAGAAAACTTTACCCTACAGGAACTCAAGAAAATATATGAATACCTACTAGTAGCAGAATTTTTGTGTATATATTATATTATACTTGTTATATTGTTATTATAGAACATTTTGACATTTCATTAACGTACGTAATACGATAATATAAATAATATTATATTGCGAAAATAATATTGTAAATGTAAGAATATATTTCATCAGAATGTACTTAATTATAATTCACTCGATAAAAATAAGGGAATTTTATACATGTATTTGTAGATTTAGATATATTTCATAATAATAAGAAATAAAATAATAGTATAATAAATGGAAATTCATTAATAATAATATTAATAATAAATGAAATTTTAATATAATTAATATATTATGTAATATATCTATAATATACCTAAATATATGAAATAATAATGAAATTTTCATAAATAGTAATCGTTACATGTGTTAAGCTTGTATTACACATAAAAAGCCGGAATACTAGTTCAATTTGTCGGAATATTTGTCAGAAAAACTGCCAAAAATCCAACATATTAGTCCTTGACTATGAAGAAGAATAATTTTAAATTTTAAACTATAAAACTGGACTTGCTTTACAAAAAATTTTCACTGATTCATTCATACCGATTTCACTTGTACTTCTTGCCCAAATATTACATAAAATACTGTAATCAATATCTTACCTAATTTTCTACTTATTTATCTACTTATCGTTTTATCCTTTGTTTTCCTTTCATTTTTTTATCTCTCAGTTTTGTATCATCAATAAATTTATAAGTTTTTCATTAATATTTTCTCAATTCTACCTTTATCTATTCCCACGTAATCCTCTAAAAGACATTCAAAATAGAAGATATTCAGAATATTACTAATTAATGATTTCCTTCGTATTAACATGCACCGGTTGGATCACCCCCTAGGATAGGTGTCGGAACTAATTTATATTGTTGTCCTTATCGCACGCTGTTGCTCTCTTTGTCTACCGCGCGAATATGTTTGTCGCACAATATCGCTCTCTTTGTCTACCGCGCGTGTATGTCTGTCCTTGTTCCACGCTATCGCTCTCCTTGTTTTTTCGCGCGAATATCTCTGTCCTTGTTTAATGACGCTAGACAAGGAAAGCAATATTGTGCGACAAGGACAATCTTCGATCTATTGAAAAAAAAATTCAACTTTTTACATACACTTTTTTTTAGGACAAAACACACATAGAGAGAAAGCGGGGAGCCTAATTTTACGGAGACATATAAAAAAGTTCGCAAATTATTCCTCTTAATTAGGTTTTTTTCGGTTAATTAATTAGTGCGAACTGTCACAAAATTGACATGTGGCGCCATCTACCGGTAACTCAGTAACCAATTATTTACAAAAATACTTATTTCTGCATTTTACGGGTCAAATGGGGTATGAAAAGAAAGCTAAGGGTCTAATTAGGGTAATACAATCGCCAAAGTTCACAATTCATTTCGCTAAATTAGGTTCTTTCGCAAATGAAAATTTCTCTGTTTTACGGGGTTGTAGTAATTATGTTGATAATTCAAATTTATATCATAATACTACAAATAAATAATAACTCCGTAATTAATTTTAGTTGTTTATATAAAAATATTATCAATATCACAAAATATATAATTACTAATAATTTAATGAAGATTACATAATGGAAGTTAAATGACGAATAATATCTACGAATGAAAGTTAAATAACGAATGAAGAATTTCTACTATGGCTACAATATATATAAGTGTCAGTAAACATTTCCATGATGATAATAAAATTAATAGCTATTTTTAAATATTCTATTGTTCATATTAAATACACATCTCGACGGAACGATTTAATGAACATAGATGTCGTTGATCTAAATTCTTCGAAGTAGAGGTCGCTACNAGGGTAAGAAACACTAGCGCCGCGTTGTGGCAGACCGGTGGAACTAAACACTCTATAGCCACATAAGGGGAATAATTAATTTTAATTTTTCACGCTACTAATTTGCACTCCACGAGCATATATTTGAAAGATAATGCTATCAGTTACGTTCGCAGATAAATCTTAATCTAATATTCGCTATAGTTTGCGCGAAATTATGCACTCAATATTGCCACTACTACTACGTAAACAAAATTGAAACATTCTTTATATACGCGAGAAATTTTCACTTTATACGTGAGAAATTTGAACTTTATAAACAGAGAAATTTTCATTTGCGAAAGAACCTAATTTAGCGAAATGAATTGTAAACTTTGGCGATTGTATTACCCTAATATTGTTAGACCCTCAGCTTTCTTTTCATACCCCATTTGACCCGTAAAATGCAGAAATAAATATTTTTGTAAATAATTGGTACCACTGAATTGCCGGTAGATGGTACCACATGTCAATTTTGAGACAGTTCGCACTAATTACGAAAAAATCTAATTAAGAGGAATAATTTGCTAACTTTTTTACATGCCTCCGTGAAATTAGGTTCTTCGCTTTCTTTCTATGTGTGTTTTGTCCTAGAAACGTGTGTTCTTCCTTGAGTTAAAGCCAAAAATGCACGTATTATCTTAAAAATTCAAAGCACAAACACAAATCTAACAATTGATTTAAATGTTTACTTGTGACCTTCTCAATGAGAACTTTTTTCTAAATAATTTTTCCGAGTAATTTCTGGTTAAACAATTTCTTACAAACGAGATATGCTTCCTTCCGTCGTTGTAAGTGACCCGCTTAAAAAGTCGGTCGTAAGAAATATCGATTATGTTCGAGAATCGTAGGAAATACATAGATTACGTATTTCATGCTATAATCGCACGAAATGTTAACTTGAAATAAAAAATAAAAAACTTTGATCTAAATCAGTCACACAAAAT